ACAACACATTATCAAGTATTTAGAACACATATTAAGAATTCTCAAAACTAAGGGTATAACCGTAGATTAGACTTTTTACTGACTGAATTGAGATGAACAGTGTGAAAACAGACTCAGTTCATCACAATGAATAGCCTTTTATACCAGGATAAAATAATGTTCTTGGCGAAATAGATGAAATTTGTAGAATGTTTGAAACCCTAGAGTTTCTTCTCTTGAATCCTTGCTCTAAATCTTTGATGTATTAAATAACGTAAAAGAATGTTTTAAAATCGTTTATACCCTTAACTAGGTTAAAAAGGATCAACATTTAGGCTTAGAAAGGATGGGTGAAGAATAAATAGCCCTTCTTAAAATAATAAAAAACCTTATACGAGTCCATCTACGGTTCATGGTTTGTTCTACAGACCGTAAATCAATTTATATTGATTTTAAGGTTCAAAAGTCCTTTTACATGTCCAAATGACGACTCATAGTAGTTCTTATTGCCCTTAGGATGGATTTATAGGAATTATATCCCAAAATTTGACTCCTGGTACATTCCTGATGACTTGACAAGACGGGTCGTCAATCAACCTACGACCCGTAGGTTTGATCCGTTGTTCACAGGCCCAGAGAACTGAGATATTGAAGTCTGATCTAGTAAAGTAATCATAACCTTTTACTTTAAATTGAAACAAGGCAAATTTTGTGGCATTGAAAAGAGAACTCAAAGACCTTCAATTTTTTAAGTCAAGGGCCACATAATTCATTATGTGTTAAAAACATGATCGTTTCAATTTAGCCTAAGTTAGTACAGATGATGTACCAGAAACTCTTATTGATCTCCTTACCAACTTCTCAGAAGGATTTGTTAAAACTCCCTCAAATTCGTGAATATCATTTGATTGTACTCTCTTTGGACTAAAAATGTTGTGGAGGATTCAAAAGGAGGAACAAATCGATTATCAAGTAAATCAACTGCTGTAAGTTCATCCAGATTTGATATTTGAACATACATTCTGAATTATAAAATTAATTAAGATGAAAACACAAAATTATGTATCGCAACAGAAAAAAATGTGTACAAGACAATGAAAGTATGAAACGTGAAATTATTATACTTAATTAACATACCTATGTAATTTAAAAGGTGATATGAATGTTACCTCAGTGAAAAACATGTCAAACTTTGGCTTTACAACCACGACTCTCCAATTGCATATCCGAGGAATATAATTCCCTTCTTTAACAATAATTTCTTGATTTACTTAAGAGGAAATTCATTAGTCCATACATTTAGTTCATATGGCATTTTGGATACATAATACACCTGTTTATCCGAGTTGAACTCCTACCCATGCTAGTGATTTCATCACCTTGGAGAATGCTAAGTCATTCCCCATGGAAACATTTGATATCTACCATCTTCAAACGTTAAGAATTCGTCGATTGATATGGGAGTATCACAATGTTGAGAGAAAACAAATGTATGGATAAAATACAAGATCATCATTAGAAAACGTTGACTCTTGTGTACACTGGTTTTTGCAATAGGGAAGTACTTTTGGAATTCGGTGTGGGTTTTGGAAATTTAAAATCTTTCACATTTCCTATGCATTTCAAACTAGTTATGATTGTAAATTTTTTGATACTAATATGCAACATATTTTCATTTGAAGCACATTAGGGTTCCAAAAGAAACAAATACTTGGTGATTCGTCCTTCATAATTACATTTCAGGATGTTGAGGTGTGGTCCAAAAATGCTATTCTTGAATAAGTCAATACACTAATCCCCTATGGACACTTTGAATTCTTAGAAGAAATTCATGTTGTAGGTAGCTCCAAATTTTAATGAGTAGATTTTTATCTATTTAATAATATATTTTCATATAGCGGAATGAAATAATAGACAAATTTGAACCATGAACAAACTACATTGTATATGATACATGAGTATGATACACCAGAACAACTACAGAATGTCTTGATCATATATCATGAATATACTATATTGTATATAATAGTACAATATTAATACTATAACAACTCATTCAACATATAAGAACTTTATCATCTATTTGTAAAATACAGAACAAACATTATACATAACTGTAATAATTAAATATACTATACATAATTTAGACTACAATACATCTTAACTATTTATTTGATACATAGTTATAGAAAATGTATATGATACTTATTTAAAATGAAGAGACTATGTAAACGTGCCAAGATTTTGATACACATCGTATATGATATATGAAAAATAATCTTTGTATCATTTATGTAATATCTTTATTGTGTATCACAAACTAACTATATGTCTATGATACACCATTTGTAACTTGATACATTCATAAAACTTAAAATTATTCAACAAATAAAGAACAGAAATATAAACATCTAATTTAAGTACATTATACATAATTTACACAATAATGTGTCTCAACTGTTTGTATGATACATATTTAAAGAAAATGTTATTTAGATCATATAATTTGTGGAATGTTAATGTGTAATAAACAAGTTATAAGATACATTAGCGAGAACTACAGACAGAACATCAAAGTGGACTTTATCATTTGATACATTTCTAACACCTATTCAATAATTATAATAAAATTAGGGTTCTAATGTATCAACATAGTACCCTTAACGCACTATCAAACTGAATATAAGAACATCACAATACAATATTGTATCAATTTTTTCTCTAAATACACTATATATCATATAAATTATAAATAATGTATCAACTTTTTCGACCAAACACACCATAGACCATATCAAAACATTTAAAAAATGTAAATAGTTGAAGAACACACACTTTGGGTCGTGTAAGTCGGGAAATTGTTGGTGAAGCTTTTTTTTTGTTTGGGGGGGGGGGGGGAGGGGGGCAATGTCTTCGGAATAAGAAAGTAGTCGTAGCGAGAAATTTCATGAAAGGTGTCCAAATTTTTAATAGTAATTTTTTTTAAAAAAAATGATAATTTAAACTACTAAAACAAATAATCAATTTAAGAAACATTTAATCAAATATAATAATATTTTTAATATAATTACAACTGTATAATTTAAAACTAACATAAAGAAATAAGCTACTATTGAAAACATAATTAAAAAATATTATAACAATTGTAGTCGACGAGGTTTCATATCCTGAAACGTTTTTTATAATACTTATTAGAAAATAGTACAAAATATTTTCTTTTCTTCATAAGGCACTATACAACCGTCTAAAAACTCATCATCCATTCGATTTTGCAAGTCATTTTTAACATACTTCATTGCCGAGAAATCTCTTTCAACGATTGCAATGGCAACTGGCAAAACCAAAACAAATTTCACTAAGAGAAATATAAGTTGATAATTTAAGTTTTTCTTTGTCTCTACCAACTTTATTGAAAGTTCACCAAGTCCATCTAAATAAGAGAATCTTTTATCAGTATTACGTACGTCGATAATGAAAATTGGTTGATACTAATCAGAGTTAAATGGAAGCATTGTTTTAGCATATATGATTGAGGGTATTCTATAATATTTGGTCAATAAGGACCAAGTTTAAGATATGTCCTTATTTCATCATGAAGATTTAGATCATGATTTAAAGTTGAAGTTCTTTTTGCTGGATTAATTTCTAGAGTATTTAAATCAATGCTTTGTCTATTTAGAACAATGTGACAACATCTCTATTGATGTATCATTTTTTCTTTATTTGGTTGACTTAGAGAAGTCAAACCTTTTTTTGTATTCTATTATAATAATTCTTCATGTCCATTGAAACTAAAATATTAAATTGGTTATTTTGTTAACAAAAAAAAGATAGAATTGTTGAGATTCTATTTTTAATAATATGGTGATATAATTTAGATAAATGTAAGAAAACCTTATTTCATAAGGAAAAAGTATTAAAATTTTAAAAAAAACTTATTCCACAAGGAAAAGGTATTAAAATTGGATAAGGTCTTGAAAAATACCTCAAGTTTGATCGAATTTGTTGTTACGGTACTAAACTTTCATGTGTACCTATTACCTTCCTCGATTATTTAATACTGTATTTTTAAACATATATTTTTGCCAACATCGACATAAAAAATAATGCAATGAAGGTAAAAATATTTTCGACCTGATTTCATCGTCATGTAACAGTCAATGAAGAAAGAATTGGGACCAGAAAACTTTATCGTAGTAACTTGGAATTACCCAACCTAAACCAGATTTGGAAGATATTGGATTCATTAAGGTGTAGAGAAAATCTAGTAATGAATAAGAGATCTAATTGTTAGTTTTATTACATGAGTGGATAGCTAAGATGATAAAGAATGTGTAGCACTTTACGGAATCGAATGGGTACATTCTGTCTGCGCTAAGGCCGCTATAGCGGGATGCATCTGCTGGAGCAGGAGAGAAGCATTTTAAAGTCACTTATAAACCCTAAAACGACCCTATTTGGTATTTTTAGAATTTTACGACTAAGGAGACGACCCTGAGGCGAGTTCTAAACAGTTTTTCACCATTTTTGAGGTTAAAGGTAAGGTTTTAACTCTCTGAATTCGTTTTTCGATACGTAGAACCTATTTCCTTAGGTTATTATCTATTGGAAGGGTTTTGATCTAAGAATTATGTTGGGAAAAGCCCTCTTTGGGTATAATGATCTTAGGTTTGGTCCAGAATTATTGGGTTTGTTGTAAACCGAATAATTATACCTTTAATTATTGATCCTTGAATATATCATTGTTGTAGACCTAGACTAAGTGGACAGAATCCGGAAAGGGAAGACTCAAGTGCCTTAGGTGATACAAGCTTGGATTCGACATAAGTGATTGTTGTGATTTTATGTGGTGTGGTATATGTTTGGTTGTTGCTTCATTATAATGGATGTACGTATGTAAATATTGCATTATCGATCACATGCTCTGTAAAAGAATATGAACGAATAATTTGTAAGTCATGAATCACCTCTTGTTCTATGATCTTGATGATGTACTTGTGCTTTATTGTGGTGTGTGATAGGGGGATCGGATTATCACGTTTCGGCAAGCTAACTTGGATCAATTGCATCTTCAGCATAAATATTGGATCGGGTTACTACGTTGTGGCACAACTATGGGATCGAATTTTCATGTTCTAGTAAGCTAACTGGGATCGTGTACCACGCTGGTGCACTAACAGTTTGAGTTTAAATTCTATGAGAGGACCATTACATTGGGTACCGTGAGAGGACAAACTACTTGTGATAATTGTATTTATTGTTTATGAACTATGATAATTGTGAGAGGACAAACTACTTGTGATAATTGTATTTATTGTTTATGAACTATGACTTATGAATTCTCAAAGAGTTGTACTTAGTGTGAGTAGGGGATTGGGACTCCATTTATGCATTGCACAAGCGAATTTTAAGAGCGGTTGCCGTTTGGTTCTCTTATGCTATGAAGATTGTGTTAATCAATGTTGTTGATATTCGGTGTGTTACATGGTTATATTGTTGCTTTGAATTATATATATTGCACTTATTGGGATAGTCACGTGATCCTACCACTACACGGTGGTTGTGTACTGATTCAGCACTTGCTTTTATTTTTTTTTAAGTATAGGGCATCTTCTGGCGGCTATTGACAGACCTTGTTTAGAAGATTAGTAACTATTTCGAATTCAAGGGTGAGCTAGCTCTTCCAGTTTGCCTTGAGTTCTCCTTGTTTAAGTCCACTCTTTTTGGACCCAGACTATTGGTTAAGTTGTTAGTTTCGGGGTTGTAACCCTTGTTCTTAGACTTGTCGTTGTTAGAGTTTTGGTACATTGAATTTCAAGTTCTAGGCGTATTTTCTGCATTGTTTTAGTTTATTTAACTTGCTTTCATAACTTAAATTTCTTAGTTTTAGATTATTTGCTTTAGTTGGATGATAGTAGTGGTTTTCCCACTGGAGTGTTAGTGTGGGTGTCAATCACGACGGTTTAGGATGTGACAAAATGGGCACATATATACCTTTAGAATACACTATTAAAAAGTTCATGGGATAAAAAATACACTATTAAATAGTTCAGGGAGGTAATAGGTCCTCAAAAAAGTTTAGTATCGCAGCAGCAAATTCGACCAACGTTGAGGTATATTTCAGACCTTTATCTTTATTAAAATTTAAGGAAATAATTCAATTTTAATTGAAAAAAATCTACAAGGAAAAAGTATTAAATTTAAGAAAATCTTATTCTACAAGGAAGAAGGTAATAAAATTTAAGGAACTAATTCAATTTAATTGAAAAAAAGTAATTAAAGGAAGAGGGATTTGAAACTGCGTCCATAGAATCATTCATAAAACAATTAACTGCCAAGCTACTAAATATTTATGTTAAAATTGGGCATGTTCATTTACTTAATTAAATTCAACCCTGTGGGAATTCAAACTGGGGCAAAGAGTAGGATTGCGCCAGCTTTTGCGAACTCCGCTGCACATTGCTTACTTATTTGATGTGGTCCAAATTCTATATATACTAATATTAAATCAAAATTTTATGTGTTCATTGTTCACATTTTCAATATTCTTATTCTTCATTGCTAGTGGGTCATGCAAAGTTTAGATTTGTTTTTAGCTCATTTGTGATCATCAGAATCATATATTTGATCAATGTTAGAAGAGTTTATTTGAGTAATACTACTACTATATGAAGGAACCTTGATCCATATATATTAGGAAATAAGGAAGGAAAAAATTGATGAAGACGGCAATGAAGAAGACGAACAGTACCTATTAAGTAGTTTGAAATTCACATTGATATGAAAATTGTAACCAGAAACATTGTGCAGTGAAATTATCGAGAAATTAAAGTAGTTTAGAAAAGAAGTGGGTAAAGGTAAGTTATCGCAGAGATGTTTATGTATTTGGCTATATTGAGAATTGGGGAAAGTAATGAATTTTTGTAATATTTTAAAAATATAGGAAAATAGAAAATAAGATAAGTTATGGTGCGTGCATATATAGTTTTTCTAATTAAACAAACAAAAAGTAAAAGTCTAATTTAAATAAGGAACCTTGATATAGTAAATTCAACATTTTACTCCTATTAATTGATAGAATTCCAAACGTGCATAGATATTTACTCACTACGTTTTTAATGACATTAATTCAATATTAATAAATTAAGGATATAATAAAAAAATGGATGATGGAATATATATTTTAGGTCGAACATCAACCATCCTTGCCTTTCAATTTATTTTCAATATAATTACGATGTCAATGTTCCTTAGCTCTCCTAATTGTTGAATTTTAGCAGTTACATTATTGTTAATACATCATAAAAAAGTTAAAAAGAGATTGATTTTACAACCTTTCTTCCTAAAGTAAAATCACATCTAAAGAAAATAAAAAGTTGTAGAATAAATTGTTTAAAAAAAAAAAAAGTGGTTATGCAGTATGCTCTTTCACATTTTTTTGGATAATATTCTGGAATGAGCAAATGATATCAAAGAAAGAAAGATAAATAGTGGATAATATTTTTCACTCTTTTGGAAATTTTGGAATGTCATCATTAATATGGGTATTCATCCATATTACTCATATTAAATGAATTGGATATCCAACTCATTTGAAAATAGGTAAAAACGAGTAATACTCATATTATCCATTTAAAAATGAATAATTAAATAGATAAAATGATAAAAACAAATAAAAAAAAAGTGATAAAAGGTTAGGTAGTAAAAAAGTTCTTTTTTAAAAAAAAAAATATGAATTTTTCATTTACATTTAATTTGGGGTTGGAGGCTGGTAGGGGTGAGGGGGGTTCTAGGGAATGGGTAATAAAAAAATTCAAAAATAAAAAAAAAATATTAATAAAAAAATAAAAAAATTGGTTAATTTTATTTTGGGGATGGGATTGTTTGGGGGTAATGGGTAGGGGTGTGGTTAATTTTTTTAAAAAAATTCAAGGAACGTTTTTTTTTTTTTGGATGGAGGTGTGGGGAGGGGGGGGGGGGTAATTTTTTTAAAATTTTGTGAATTTTTTTAGGATGGGGTGTGGGGGGTGGCTGGTATGGAGCAGGGTGTGGGGGCTGATAGGGGTTAGGTGGAATTTTATATTTTTTACATTTTTTTGGGAGGGGGGTGGTAGGGGGGAGGGAGTGAAGTGATTAAAAAATTATTATTTTTTGTTTTTAAAGTTTTTAATAAGATCTCTAATATAATATGGGTAATATGGTTATCTATATTATCCATTGGATGACTCGTTTTTAATCATTTAAAATATGAGTCGAGTCGGATAACTTACCTATTTTTATTTAACTCGTTTTTTTATCAACTTATATTGAACTCGACTCGCTCATTTGTCACTCGTATGATCAATAGTACCCTCTATCAATGGTACAATGTCCACTACTGGAGACTAGAAGGAATAAGTATGACTTGCAAAATGCTTTTAAAAGTTGAGAGACTTGGACACCATCTTTAAGGTCATATATGCAACAAGATGTTATGTTCATCATTGGAAATGTTACTTGCTAGTACATAATTGATTCTAAACTCAAAAATGGATTTCCAAGTTATGATACTTATGTATGAATGATGAAAAAAGACAGCTTATTAATTAGGAATTTGATAGTATTTTGTTCTAATTGAAAACAAAGTTGTAAGTTGTATTTGGACAGGTTTGTTAGAGTTGAGAATTTGTAAGTGAAAAAGAATTACTTATCTTTGATACTTTTTGGAGCAATTAAAATCAGTATTCGTACTGAAATAATATTTGAAGCCCAGACGAACCGTAGACTTAATTCTTTTCCTTTTGTTTTCGTCCATCTGAATTTTTCACTTATTTCCCAAAAATTATTTCACTTTTTTTCCAATTCCAATTTCAATTTTGAAAATTTTAAATAAAGTTTTTTTTTTGGCCAAACACGAATAGCTCGATAGTAAGCTGAGAATCTTTAATTTTGTCATGTCAAATCACACATTTTGTGGCTACACTTTTGAAGTAAAAATGAGTCATATGCATATACATCCATGCAAGATTCTGTTTCAAAACTTGTGCGGTCATTATCCCCCTGCAGCTATAGTCATTCAAGGGTGTTTAACGTTGAAAAATTACGTTATATATATATATATATATATACATATATATATATATATATATAAAAGAGAGATATATATTTAAAATTGAATATCCTTGACAAAAGTTATGTCTTTGATGTAATGATAATGAGTATTCTTTTGAATGAAGGAGTTCTGGATTTGAAACCTCAAAATAGCATAATATTTTTTATTTTATTTTGATAGCTACACACCAATATTCTTAAACACCCATAATAAAAATTTTGGCCACACCATTAGCTTATGGTCCATAACACATTGTTCCCTTGTGTCAAAATGAATTGTGGACCTTTCTTCACTTCTCACTGTTCCACATATGACCAATTTGGATATCTATATATAGTTGCCAAATTAAGATTTTGGATGGGTCAGCTTTGAACGAATTTCTTTGTTTGTTTTCAAGATAAAAGGGAAAGATCTAAAATTTACAATCATTCATCTACCATGTGTGAACATATATATTTATTCTCAAATCCTGGGCTCCACCATGTTCTTGGGTTTGTATGTATTCTAGCAAGATTTACATCCTCATAGCCAATAATAATAATATATTGTCTAGAATGATAAGCTAGGTCCTATCAATAAGACAAATTAAAGGCCAAGAATTCACATCTAAGTCAAAGAATGTGCAACTAATAGATACTAAAGGAATGCAAGTTTGAGTGGTGGAGAGGGATAAGGTTTTTAGGATGCAACGGAAACACATCTTTGAAGTGTCCTTGGTAGCCTAGTTGCTAAAATAGGGAGACTGGCGAGAAAGAGGCATGAGAGGGAAGCGAGAGGGTTGAGAAGGAGGAGAGCGACATTTATTAGGTATCATAGAGAATTCCAAATCTATTTGGATACACTATATCTATTTGGGTGTATCTAAACATATCTGGATGCACCAAAATCTAGTAAAATTTGTAATATTTTAAACTAAAGTGTATCTAAGTCATTAACTTCTAGACTAATGAAATTTACGTAAATTTCTCTGCTTAATTTTTATTTTTAGTTTGATATTTTGTTATTATTCTTGACATGGCATCTTGAAAGGATGATTTGTCAACTGTTGTCCTTATTTTGGTGATCTATGTTTGATTTGTGGAGAATCCCATATGTGGCAACAGTGTCATAATATTTTTTGAGAATAAATTGTGCACACCTCTCCAATCTTTTGAGTAGATTATTTGTAATATATGTGATGGTCAGTATGACCATTGTAATAATTATTTTAACTCTTATTTTTGTCCTGGAGCTCATATGATATATGATTCTTCTTTTTTGCATGTGGTGTTGACAAAAAGACTAATGAAATGTAGGATGTAGTACGTCTTGCTCAGGGATATGCAAATTACAAGCTTAATTAATACCCAAAATATAACGAACCTTGAAATGAAGAATTCTTGCAAGAAAATAAATTTGTAGTAGTAGCAATGAGTCAATCTTGGCTAATGGGACAAGATCAACTAAAATGAAATTTCAGTTTTTTTTTTTTTTAATAATGGTGTTACAATCATGACGATTTAATTGATAGAAGGAAAAGTTGAGCTCAAATAGGATATCGACCAGACTTAGATATTTCTATTATCTTTTATTAGACAAGAGCTTGGTATCTAGTTGCCCACATGCTCAACAAATCTCATTATGTTTACAAAAAATTAGCATTGGACAAGATAATAGATTTTGGGAACATAATTGGGCGTCATAAGTGTCTAAAGACCAGGTAATTAATAATCTATTTATTTACATCTTTAGAACAATACAGATAACTCTTCAAATAAATAAACAAACAAACAAGAAGACACCATACAATAAAGTCATAAAGCTAAAATAAGTACAATCCTTTTTTTTTTGGTCAAAAATATTTGGCATATATATATATATAGTCTATCAAGAAACCAATAATATCACATTATTAAAGCACTTTGAGATTTGACGTTTCCTTAATTATAAGGTGACCATTCTATATAGTAACATTTTTATTTATTTATTTATTTGTTATACAACCACATTAACAGATCTATTTTGATGATCAGGTGTAGAAGTATTAGTCGGTTCAACTCTTGTCATTTTAAATCCAGGCATAGATGAACCTTCATCTTCATCATGATATATATATGCAAATCCTCCATGTCTTGTTAAATCCATCCCTGCTGTTTCATCGTCTCGCGATATCCTCAATAGCTTAAACTTATGTAACAAATAAAACAATGGTCCCATTGTGACACTCACCCATCCAATAATCACAACAACTTGAATTACTTGTGCACCTAATAGTTTTCCACCACCTCCCATAAACAATCCATATGGTCTATTAGGAAATCCTGGATATACTTCGTTGACATATTCTTTTTTCGCGAATAATCCAGTAAATATTATCCCCCATGAACCGCAACCACCATGAAGTTGTGCTGCTTCTAATGGATCGTCGTATTTTAATTTAGCTGCCAATGCGTTAAATCCAATTAAAACCCAAGCTGCGATAAATCCACAAACTATAGCTGCCCATGGCTCAACAACTGCACAACCTGACGTGATTGCTGCAAATCCACCTAGTAAACCGTTACATACATCAACTACATTCCAATGTCCCACTAAAAGCCTCTTACAAAACAAAGTTGTCAGAGCGGCGGTACAACCAGCCAATGTAGTCGTGACAGCTGTCCTACCGATCGCGCTCCACTGACCATAATAAGTACCTCTTATGGTATGATCGTATGATTTAAGAATAGTTAAGAATGAACCAGGATTAAATCCGTACCAACCGAACCATAGTAAAAAAGTACCTAATACAACTAATGAGGCACTATGGCCTCTTAGGGCAACAGACCGACCGGACCGATCAAACCGACCGATTCGTGGTCCTTCGATGAAAGCGCCCCATAGACCGGCAATGCCACCAACCATATGAACAACACCGGACCCGGCAAAATCGATAACACCCGAACCGAATAATAAGTTACCATCGGTTTTTGATGCACTGGCCCAACCATCACCGGACCAGAACCAATGTGAGACAATTGGGTACACAAAACCGGTCAAAAATGAAGAGTAAATGAGATAAGCCACAAATTGTGTTCTTTCAGCTATGGACCCACTTGTGATACCTATAAATTTCAAAATAAATAAATAATAAATAAATTTTTTTGGCTTAGGTCATATAAGGAACAAGTGGATGAGAAGAATCAATAAATACATTGTTAACCAAAAAAGAATACTAAGAGAAATGTGTTTTTTTTCATACTTATGATTTTTTATATAGATTTTCATTTTTACCGTAGATAGATTTGAAATAATCATTTTCTTCTATTCACATTTTAAAATGGTAACAGATTTCATTTTCTCAAATAATATCATATATCCCAATTTATGTGATGTGATTTGATTACGTATTGAATTTAAGATCATAAAATAACACATTTTTCTGAAGTTTTCGTTAAATAAGTAGGATTCAGTATGTTGTTACAATATACTTTTTATTTTATTAATATAAAAGAATTGTAACTTGTACTATTTTTTGTATAATTTTTGTATATTTGATTCTTTTAATTTAAAATATCAAACTAATATAATTTAATTTAACTTTAAAAATCAATTTAATTGACAATCGAAAAATACAACTAAAAAAATGAAAGAAATACTAAACATCAATTAATAGAAATAATGCCATGAAATAGTCACACAATCATTGTTTGTTTATTAGATATGCTAAGTCTAATATATTTCATTGTATGTTTGTTGGATATGCTAAGTCTAATTATATTTCATTGTTTGTTTGTTGGATATGAAGTCTAATTATAATCTAATTAAGTAAAAGTGAGAGTAATTTGTCCAAATTAAATTTAACATCTATTAGCAGTTACTAGGCATAGAGAGTTCAGTTAATTGGCATCTACTAAAATTAAATTACTCCTCTACTTTTAATTGTCATAAATTTCTTTTTTTGGTCAAATCATAAAAATTTAATTAGCATCTTATGATATAATTTTTTCATCATATTAATATAAAAAAATTATAATTTATAGTATTTTTCGTATAGATTTTAAATATTTAAATTTTTATTTAAAATATTTAACTAACGTAATCAAATTTAATTTTAGAAATTAGTCAAACAGACTTTCCAAAAGTATGGCAGGACAATTAAAATGAATCGAGAAATAATTTTTTTTTCTTTCCCAAGGCAAGCTAACATGAAAATTGAAATTAATATATACCTGCAGCAGCTATGGCAAAGGCCCATTGATAAAGAAAATAGCTATAGTCAAAAGCTTGTGAAGGAAACTCTTTTAATCCAAAAAAATGTTTTCCAATGAAACCATTAGAAGGAGCTCCAAAGGCAAAGGCAAAACCAAAGAGATAATAAGACAATCCACCAGCAGCAGCATCAAGCACGTTTGTAAGCATTATATTCATCGTGTTTTTGGCGCGGACAGAGCCCGCGCACAACATGGCAAATCCCAATTGCATGGCGAAGACGAGGTAAGCCGAGAAGAGGAGGTATGTGGTGTCCACCGCGTAGGTGGTGTTTGTGAGGTACTCTGAGACAGCTGAGAAGCGGCTGCAGATGAATTCTGCGGCCGCTGTGGCATTTGCTGAGCTGCCGAGATGAGGGAAGAGCTCGGCAGCTGAGCAAGTCATGGCGGAGGCCATGATTTGGAGAATTAGTAATTAATAGAGAGAGAGTGATGAAGGAAGAAGAAGGAGTTTTGCAAGTGAGGCAAATTATTAATGCTTGGAATGTGGTTTATATAGACGCAATGGGGAAAAAAAGTTTTTCATTTTAGGTTATTATTTATTTATAAAAAAAATTGTGTTAGGTTAATTGGGAGTTTCTTTCGTTCTCATTTTATAGGTATCTTTTTATTCGACATTAAGAAATAATATAATTTTATCATTTTATTTTTATTTAATATTTTTTTTAAAATTTACTTAATAATAAATGATGAATATATTTTCGAGATTAATTAATTAACCTATCAAGGATATAATAGGCAAAATATGATAATTTATGCATAAGTTTTATAAAATGATAAGTATTGTGATTCAACTATTTATAAAAAGGGATGACATATAAAATGAGACGGAGAAAGTATTACAATAAAATCCGATTTTTTCGAGCATAACAAATATGCCAAAGAACATTAAGAAATTTTTTACAGACGTTATTAATTATCATCTAATCTAATATTACTATAAACTTTAAAAAAAATCATTAAAAAATATTTTTCACCTCTAAAACAAATATTTTTAGTATAAATTAAATAATTATCGTTAACTAATCACGGAACGAAATTAAATAGTACGCCTACTACTTCGATGGGGTACACACTACCCCATGATATTCTAATGTCAACGTGCCTGCAATTTGTTGCATTGGTTTGTTGAAAAACAAAGCACTATGTCTATTCTATACAAGTAGTCCATATAAGTATTGAAATATACAATATCCATTAAGTATTTAAGTATTGGGGTGCGGAGTGAGAAATCTGAATACAGATTTAATTTATTGAAATTTAGGTGATTTTTTGTTTAATTAATATACCTATATTATATTAAGAATTTTATTTAAAAGGTACAATCAATTGAGAATTACTCCATGCGTTCATCATTATAAAATTTAGAATTTATAAATATAAAATTCTAATTTGGCGTCTCATATTATATCATTATTTCGTATGTTGCGTATATGTTTTCTCTGACTTTGTTCGAAAATGGGAGGATCATCAAAATGTGAGATGACATTGAGCTGAGTAAATGTTAAAAACAGAATAAATGCTTAATTTTTATTATCTTGTGTGTATATATATATATATACACGCTTTATAATGTTAAATTAGTACTCTTTGTCTATTTTAAATTGTCATGATTTTTATTTCTAGAGTCAAATAACAAATAATTTGAAGAACATTTTAATGTGTATTTTTTAATCATATTCATCTACAAAAAATTGCAATTTATAGTACTTTTTATATAGTTTTTAAATATTCAATTTTTTGTTTAAACTATCAAATTAATGTAATCTAATTTATCTTTCAAAATTAGTAAAATTAACTTTTGAAAAGCACAACATAACAAATAAAAGTGAACAAAGAAAGTATTAGCTAAAATTACATGAACCTCTCAAAATCACTCTTACTAGTTATATGTAGGGGTGTAGAAAAAAAAACTATATATCGACTAATCTAACATAATCAAACCAATATATGTTATTTTTTCAATAAAAGAATTTTATTTAAGTGTATAGTCATTCCGGACAATTGGAACGGTCTTTTTAGTTTATGAAAAAATTAAAAATTTTCTGAATCTAACTGAATAACCTCACATGTTTTTAAATATTATAGGCATAACTATATGCTAAATTTAATAAATAAACAAGTTTATAACAATTTTCAAATATAAATATAACATAGCTTCTAGGTCTACTGAGTAGTAATTAAACGACTTCCGGTCTTTACTTTTTATTCTTTAATTAATTAGATTTAAAATTCAATGATATTATATTAGATAATTTATCAAACAATATACACCTAAACATATGCAAACATTCATATTAAATGTTTAAGATTAAGCAATACCACAACAAGGTTTTATATTCTTGACATCTTGGGGAAGAACTGAAGCGCTTCTTCACAAACATATTTGCGAAAGAAATATTTTAATAATAGTATATTTTAAGTCAATACTTTAAAAATAAAAAAAAAACGAAAATTAGCCGACCGGTATTGATACCGAAGAAAAACCAATATAATTGAGAAGGTTTTAAAAAGTATAATTTTAATTATACATTATAAACATCCAAAAGATTAAGATGATATAATTTTTAAAAAATAACCCCCCGGATAGTCTCATTAACCCCCTAGTTATATGAGTCCGAAGCCTCCTAAAGGGTACAAAATATTAACAAAATTTCAAAATGGTATTTAAAATTTTATATTAACCAAAACGGCAAAATCGTTGCATCAACATCGATTTACTCCACCGGAAAAAGTAAAATCGCTACAGAGATTTTGCAAAATGTGAATTTTTTTTAAAAAAAAATTAAATCGCTACCTAGGCAGCGATTTTAAAATTTTTATTTAAAAAATTGCTTCCTAGGCAGAGATTTATAATTTATAATTTTTTTTAAATAAGGAAAATCGCTACCTAAGCAGCTATTTAAAAAAAAATTGAAAATGTGGAAGTCGCTGACAAGGCAGCGATTTCCAAAAAAATATTCTTTTTTTAAATCGCTGCCTACGCATCGATTTGCATATTTAAAAAAATATTTTTTTTTATAAAATCGCTATGTAGGCAGCGATTTAAAAATTTTATAATTTTTTTTATTTTTAAAAAATCGCTGCCTATGCAGCGATTTTTAAAAATTTTCTAAATATTTTTTTTTAAAAAAAAGATTGCTGCCTAGGCAGCAATTTAATATATATATATATATATATATATATATATATATATATATATATATATATATATATATATTTGAAATCGCTGCCCACATTTAAAAAAGTTTTTTCTTTTTATTTTAAAAATCGCTGCCTAGGTAGCGATTTCATTTTTTTTTTTAAAAAAAATCACATTTTGCAAAATCGCTGCAGAGACAGTAATTTATATATCGTTTTTGAAATTTTTATTAATATTTTATACATTTAGACTCCGGACTCCTAGTTATATGCGTAGCTGCATATACATAATTTAAATAATTATCAATACTTATTAGTATTAATTAATAGTAATATTTATAGATAAATATATTCAACCATTTGCTGCCAACTTGTTTCAAATCACATAATTCCAAATCAATGCTGTTAATTATGGATCTACTTGAATTATTAAGATGATTGACAATTTAATAACAGTTATGTTTTGCTTCCTTCCTCTTTCTGGTCCAACTTGCATCGTGTTTAATTTGTTCACAACTTAGGCTTTATATATCTATTTATAATTTGAAGTTCATATCGTTATCGGTGCTGTTCACGATTAGAATAAAAACAAATTTAAATTAAAAAAAGTTATACTAAACTAATTAATAAATTGATTTAATTTGAGTTTGATTTTATTTTTTATAAATATCGATATTATTTGCTTGGTTATGATTTTATTTGAAAAAATCGATGAAATAATGGAACAGAGAAATCATATACATATATTTATTATTATGAATACATAATATATTATTTTTATAAATAATCTTAAAAATTTTATATATGTTTTCATCGAAATTTGTTTATAATTTACTTATAATGAATGCAAAAATGTCCAATGCGAGAACATGTATGTTATTGAATTTTATTATATGAGTGCCTATGATAATTCTTTATAAGACTGTCACTTTTTCTTTTTCTAGGTCAAAATATTTTTTGAAGTTTTATTCATAGTAAATTCAATTATCGAAATTTTTGTAATATCAATCATTTTAACTATTTTTTATTTTGAATTGATTACAACTATTTCTTTTACGTTTTGAATGAACTGTTTCTTTTATTTTAGTATATAATTAATAACTAAATAACCGAATAAATCAAACTGACACTGATAACAATCAACCTATAAACATAATTAATTTGATTTTACTAATTTTAAAACCAATTAAATTAATTTAATTATAATTTTAACCGATAACCATCTCGCTGACACCCCAACTTTATCAGGGTTCAAAAAATATCTACTCAGTGAGGCAATATATACTTGGTTGGTATGGGCTGGGATTTTGTCCAGCTATATACAGTTTGATGAACATGTGCATTGTTCATCTTCCTTCTTCACCAATAAAATAGGAGCACTTCAGGATGAGATGATTGGTTTAATGAACCTTCTTTTGTATAATTAAGAAACGGATGTTGGTATTATATTGGTTGATACTCCATTTGTCTTTAATTAACTATTCACCTTTTTTTTTTCTAGTTATCTCTAATTACTTATTTATTTAAACAAAGAAGAAAAAAATTACTATCATAATTTGTACCTTCAATTAATTATTTTGAAAAAGACAACTTCTTGAAAATCTTAGTAAAATTTTAATTGATCAACTACATAATTAATATGAGTAAAATGATAAACTCGTCATGTCAATATCATTTCTTAATAGGTGTGTTAATTCAAAAGTGAATAAGTAATTAAGGACAGAAAAATATAATAAATTAACAGTGAGAGATCTATTTTTAAAATTACACGTATCAGATCGAATTATGCGTGGTAGGATATATATGTCAACAATTATTAGACCATGTTTGTTGCTTAAGACTTCGGTTTTTTGTTTATACTTTTCATATTCATTTTTCGGTGGAAAAAAATCTAGCATCATGGTTGATCTTTTTTTTTTTTTTTACAAATACTGATCTCAAGAGGTCACTATAATTTTTTACAAAAATAAATGTTACTTTTCATTTAAAAAAAATTGATTTACCCATCAATTGGAGAACTCACATGTCAAAAATCAGCTAATTGAAGCCAGTAATCATCCCCCAAATTATTGAATTTCATTTTATTTAATATAACTAAGAAAAATAATTCCCAAAATTTCAAATTCTAATAAGCCGGAAAAACGACATAATCAAATATTAAAATATTTATCCAAAAAATCAAGCTAAATACGGTTGATATTGCTCAAATTACATCAAACACTTTACTCCTTTTATCAGTTTATATCGATACAAATTCAAATTAATTTAATTTAGTGAATTATCAATCGCCTAAGCAAGAAGAAAATTAAAAACAATTCAAACTTGGAGGACTAATTAAAGTGTCATATAAAATTAGTCATGGACCTCTCATCTCATTTGTCTTTTTCCTGTTATGTAAAGAATCCCCCAAAGTACAACTAATCCATTAACATTTCTTAAAATAAAAATTAGTCCAGAAAGTTACAATATGAACTAATTTCTTTATATAATAAATTGGCAGAATAGTCTGGTGGATCCTCATACTTGTATCGAATTGTATTATAGATACTCATACTTATCCTTTTGTCATATGAACCCCTGAACTTATCCAAAACCAACATTTTAAACACTTTTTTTAATGTGGCATCCTATGTGGAATTAACCCACATATAGAGTGTGATTCAGTTGAAGGAAGAGAGTGAGACGCCTTGAAAAGGCACTAATGGTCATATTTTGACCTTTAAAGGCTATTTCTTCTTCTTTAATTCACTCAACACCATTGTTAATGCCTTTTTGAGCTTTTTTCTTTCTTTTTTTCTCAATCTTGTCTGTATAAAAAAATTGCTCTTTTATTTTTAGCGTCTTTTATTTTTTCCTTCAATCTACTCGTGTCTTTTTTTTTGTTTGATTCTATTATATTTTGTTGGTTTTCACGATGACAGTTCGATGTTGCTACTGTGGAATATATGCTGAAATAAAGACATCAAGAACACCAACTAATCCTGGATGAATGTTTTGGGGCTGCCAAAAATATTCATCCGGTAATGGGTGTGAATTCTTCTGATGGGCTGATACTAATGAACAATACAACATCAATAATTCATAAATGAGTTCAAGGAAGCAAAACAAGGAAGACAAGAAAGACAAGGAACACATAGAAAACAACGAACGCAAGGAAGACAAGGATCAAACACTAGAATTGATATCACTGTTATTGTTATTGTTGTTATTTGGTTTGTAGTTGTTATATTTAAGATATATTGATTTGTACTATGTGTTATTTGATAATGAAATTGATTGCATTTACGTCAGAAATCTGACTAACTTCATTCAAGCACAAATTCTTACAAGAAAAACAAAGTCTTCCCAATAGCAACTTAACACAAATTCATATATAAAACAGTTGAGATCAAATCATTAATCAAAATAAAGTTAGTTGGGATCATTTCATTAAGCTAAATAAAGTGAAATCTAATGTGTGCCTTGAGTGCCTTGAGTGCTTCTGTAACTTTCCTCTCGTAGCTGCCTTTGAGTAATTGCAGCTCTTCCCTTCCACCTTAGTCCTTTGAGTTTGTAACCAAGATCAATATTGGTAGAAGTTGAACTTGTCAATGTAGCACTGTGTAATACCCTATCAGTATTTTCAGACTGAGAAAATAACAAATCTTAACCCAGAGATGAACTAATATCAATTAAAACAATCTAATGTGTTTAAATGATAAAATACATACTCTCTCTGTTACACTGCCACCTGATCCAAATAAGAGACCATAACTAGTTGTCTTCTCTTGTTTTGTCTTGGTTTCTCATAGGCAAGAGATGCATCTCCTCTCAAAGCTGTGTCAGTTTTTCTTTTTTGGCTAGTTGCACTAGAAGTTGATTGTTGAGTGAAACTTGGAACTTCCCTTGGACCTGCACATGGAACTTCCCTTGCAACTTCACTTGGAACTGCCCTAGGACTTGCACATGGAACTTCCCTTGGACCTTCACTTAGAACTGCCCTAGAACCTACACTTGGATCTGCACATGGAACTTCCCTTGGACCACTTGGACCTGCCCTTGGAACTGCCCTTGGACCTGCACTTTGACCTGCACATGGAACTTCCCTTGGACTTTCACTTGGACCTGCACATGAAGTTCCAATAGCAACATTTGAAGTTCTATCACTTGCATCACTTGTTCCAGCGGCAACATTTTTCTACAAGCATAGAGATATTAAAGCACAACTTACCAAGAGTAAAATTCAATAACAAAGAGACATGAAAACTCAACTTACCAGAGTTGGACATCCTTTCTTGTTATGTCTAAAAGTCTTACACACGGAACATTTCATTTTTCTTCCCTTCCTTGTAGTCTTTCCAAACTTCTTCTTAACTGGCTCATCATTATCTTTTCACCTATTTTTTCGTGGTCTTCCTAGCATGGATGTTATTTCAAGTGGTTCAATGGCTGGTCTATCACTTTTTGGCTACATCTTCATGTTTGTCATAGGTTGAATAAATTTGTTATATGCTTTTAGGTACGTTTCTTTCTTGTACCAGTAGTCAACAAATGACTCAACAACCCAATCATAAAAATGAATTGTTGTAAGTGCATGACCACAAAGAATTTCCTTTAATTGCCATGACTACAACTACACACCTTCTTTTTTAGGTCAACAACATGTTTATATGGTGGATCATGAATCTCCAAGCCAAGATCACCATTAAACAAAACCTTACAATTATCTGCAATTTCAGCATTTTTTCTAAGAATATCCATAGCCATAGCTGATACATCAGTAATCCATCTTTCTAAAAATTCTCTCATTTAAATCATTCTTTCTATAACTTTGACTTTTATTTCCACTAGCATAGTGATTATTGTTTTGAACCTAGCATATACAATTCAACTGTTGAAAGTCTCACACATGTTGTTCTCAACCACATCACACTTGCTATGTACTTTAAAATATTCCCTACACCATGCTTCCTTGTTATAATTTAACAGTACTTCTATAATGTCTTCTCCTTACTCACTTAAACATCAAGTTTGGACTGTAAAAGTACCTCAAATGGTGCTCTAGCAACCTGCCAAAATTTTCTTCTCCTTTCTTTTCCCCTCCTGTCTTTCTTCCAGTTTGCCCATATATGCCTACCACACCATCTGATTTAAGCATTCGCAATACATCAATAAGTGCAAGATGATTACCCTGTCAAAAAAGAACATTTGAATACAACAATGTTAAATATCAAATACTCCAAAAATTAAAGAATAAATTTAACCAATAATATAGTAATACCTTCTGCATATCATACATCACTGTTAGTCCTTCACTTTTTTAAGCTCCAAATCATGTCTGATGAACTTGAGAAACCAAGACCATGTCTCCTTGGTTTCTTTATCAACTATTGCCCATGCTATAGGGTACATGTGATTATTTCCATCTTTGCAAATGCAAGCTAACAGTTCACCTTTACATACACCTTTAAGAAATGCACCATCTAAACCAATGATCCTTGTACACCCTTCTTTCCAACTACTTTTTGAGGAACCAAGACAAATATAAATGCTCATAAACACCTCTTTTCCTGGAATTGTGTTCTTGGATGTCCTAACAGATACAGTAGTTCCAGGATTTGTGTTCTTTAATTGCTCAGCATAATCATACAACCTAGAAAACTCCTCTCTAAAATCTCCCATATGTTCATTCATAACTCTCAGTTTTGCCTTTCTACAACTTGTTTTACTAACATACAAATTATACTCCTTTTGTATCTAATATTGAATCTAATGTAGTTTGATGGTAGGCTCACTCATAATCCTCTCTTTGTAATGTTTACTAATCCAAATGGAGTTACACAGTTTGTTTCTTGTTCTTTTAAAACACTTGTGAACTGAAAAATATGTTTTAACACTAAAGTTTCCAATGTTACCATCAATACTTCCAAGAATATGCCAAGGACAACCTTTTTTCTTACAATGTGCCCTTACCCTTTCCTTCTCATTAGGTTTCAACTTAATATTAACACCCTTCTTAATAGAGTAAGTTTGCAGTGCCTCCTTGAACTCAATGTTATTCATGAATACCACATACAGTTGAAAACAAACCTTTTTAGCAGTTGGATCAAAGTAGAACTTTTTACTTTCCTTCCTAGGTGTTGTATCTACCACTTCATCATCCCCAACAGGTTCCCTTCATCTTCACTAGTGTCACTACAAAGATCCGAGCTATCAAAAAAAGGGTCATCACCACCCAAATTCCCTTCAAATCTATCCCTTCTCTCCTTATAAATGTCTTCAACACCAACATCTATACCTACAGGACCAGATGGTATCTCATCTAGATTTACTCTATCAGTCTTCTCTTTAACTTGTTCTTGAATGTTAAACTGTCTAGCTTGAAGAAAGTCCTCATCCTGATCACTCAAATCATCAATATTTTCATCAACATCATAGAGTGAATCAGAATAAAAATGTTCTTCAACTCTAGGAGCAGGATCTTGTTCTTCAACTAAAGGGGGCTGCTCTTCAATTAAAGGGGACTGGTTTTGGTTTAAATCCATATTTTCTTTTTCAGTAAATGGTTGAGATGAAGACACATCAACCCAATCTATTTGTGGGGATGATGAGAAATCGGCCCTATTTTTATGTGGGAAGGAGGACATATCAGCAATATATTTTTGTGGAGATGAGGACACATCAGTATTAGTGTCTAGGCAATTCAAGTATCTCCTCAAGAACTAAAGGTATACTAATGGGATGTACAACATATACATCAACAAAATCAGCAGCCTTCAAACCATTAAGAATTTTTAGAACATCGTGATCAGTATTTAACATGTAAAAAATACCCTTCTTGTTGACTCTACATCCAAATGTCTCAACATTTTCAACACACAATTCTAATGCTACAACATAATATGCAACTCATCTACATCTATATTAATCTTTTCAACACTAGTTATTCAATTGGCATACCTTAAAGTAGAATCCGATACAAAACAACCCCCATAATGAAATTGAAGTGTCACTATAGTTAAAGCCATATCTCTGGATGCCTGTAAAGTCAAATGAAAAAAAACTATAATTAAAATTTAAAGGCATAAAATTACCAGGACAAAAACAAGTACTTTTAAAGGGAAAAACAAGCATAAAATTAACATGAAAAATAACTACAGTTACAGGGGTAAACTTATCACGATTGTAATACAAAAAGCCCTAAATTTTTTAAGAAAATACTAGTAATAGTTAGATGGTAAAACCATTAACTTATATATAACTGTAATTGTTGTTACAATGGACCACTAACACTATCAATACCCAAGATAATTGACCAAAAAAAGAATATTAATTTTAGTCTAAATTGGAATTTTACGAATAAACCCTAGAATCTACTCAAATTCACGGAACATGCCATTGAAGTCCGTCAAAGTCATTAATCAACTAAGAAAGTGTATAGAACTAACATTAAACCCAAACCAAAGTAAAATCCCCAAAAAATTTAAGAAAATCGAATGACAATCGATCCTCTAATCAAACAGATACGCACAAGAAAGAGAAAAAAATCGAAAACTAACACTAGTGCAAGAACTTACAACGATAGTCGGAGTGGAACTGAGCTTAAACTGAGAAAATCTATGGCAAATCACAAACGATTATTAGTGGATAAATTGTAGAGAAGAGAAGAGGAGAAGAGAGAAGAGGAAAAGTCGCAAAAGTTTTCAAAATTTCCCTGAGATTTGGACTATTCTTAGTTGGCTGATTTACCACGTAGATTTCATACGTGGATTATTATTTTTTATTTTTGACCTACATATACGTGGTTTGTGCAACACACGCGATGCAACATCAAAAAAAGTGTTTAAAATGTTGATTTTGGATAGGTTCAAGGGTTCAGATGACAAAAGGCTAAGTATAAGTATCCATAATACAATCTGATACAAGTACGAGCGTCCACCAAACTATTCTACCTAATAAATTTATATCGTCCATTTTATTTTTGTTAAGTCACTATGACGACGTGATGGGGTAAAGCATAGGATAGTGTTCAACTAAAATTGATGACTTACATGATTATTTTTAAAAACTATGCAAGAAATATGATAAGTGATATTTTTTTCCTATATTTATATGATTTTAAAATATTGATTGAAATTCAGATATTTGATTGGATGAAATACTATTATACATAGATTATAGTGAATCAATGATGATGGTGTGATTAGATGAGTCATTATATCATTAATTTATATTATAAATCTGCGTTAACACCTTAAGATACTCACACATTCTGACCAAAAACTACGGAGTAAACTAAACCAAATAGGATAATTAACATAAATTTATTCCCAATTTATGACATATAAACGTTTGGATATTATTTTAAAATATTTGATGTTATTTCATTAGTAGTGTGTTTTTTTGGTGGCAAAGTTAAAATTTTTGTTAAGGGCGTTCAAAATTTTAATATATATTTTTAGAAAGCTATTTTAACTAGTATATACATAATATTAATTTTTATATGCACAATATAATTTTTTTCGTGATTCTATCAGATTAAATCCTCAACTTTTATTCTAACAAAATCTCTCTCACTATAAAGTAAAATTAATATGCAATTGAATATCACTCGTCTATCATAAAAAATGATAAGATACATTGTGGAAGGCTAGTTACGTGCATAATATAATTCTGTTATTTATAATTTGTGTGGTACTCTATGTTACGTCAAGGGTTTTAACAAAATTTATATTTTTTTTGGATATTCACTATATAATGAGGCTATTAAGCCACCTATCTTTTTGCAAAAGTTATGAATATTTATGTGAGGTTAATGGATATATGTAAATTATGCTCAATTGAATATTTATTAAGCAGAAAAAGTACTCTCATCTTCTATACAGGAAGAAAGATAATGGAGAATCAGGGTTATTGATAACAGTTAGGGTGTACAAAATTGAACCGAGAATCGAATCAAACCGCAAATTGAGTTAATTAGGAAATTTTTTTGACTAGTGGTTGATTTGACTTGGTTTGATGTTAATTAAAAGAACCCGGCTATATTTGGTTGGTTTGGTTTTAACTAAAAAAATCAACCCAAGACCAAATCAACCCGACATTATATATATAATTTTAAAATTTTAATTTACACAAAAAAATATTTACTTTGATATTATTTTTATATATTTTTTTTATACATTTTCATAGTTTTTATCTTTTAATATAATATTTTAAGTTTGAAACTTAGAATTTTGGATGGTTCCATAAAGGTTATAGTCCACAAGTGTTGGTAATTATAATAAAACTTAAATCAAAATCAAATTAATACTACTGCAAAAAGGAAATCAATTTAGCACATAAGAATGACAATAATATGGAATATTTGTTCTTTGATTTTACAAATATCTAGTCATGTAACTAATAATTATTAAACTTATTTTAGCATGATTTAGTACTTTTAAATTATAATCATTTTAATTATGACTTGTTAATTTGCAGTATTTGTTCTACGCAATTTTATCATCATCGTCATCATCATAATATATTTTTAGTGTCATTAATCATATCATTATTTGTGTTATATTTTTAAGAAACACCTTATATAGTTGTATTTTGGCAAAACTGAAAAAATATTTGAATTACAAGTAAATTATATGTTTGTATGGATACTTTAGCAGAAAAACCTGAAAAAACCCGAGGTTGAAAAATCGAGTTTTATTGGTTTGGTTGGTCTATAGATTCAAAATCCCGACACAAATAGTTTGATTTGATATTTGAAAAATTAGAACAAACCCAAGCATGTATACCCCTAATAACAGTGCTACATTGTTAAGCTAAATGAGTACAAGCTTGACTATTCATTGTCCCTTATCAGTTACTCCCTCCGTTTTAAAAAGAATTGTCTAATTTTTTTTAGTTTGTTTAAAAAAGAATGACCTTTTTTTGCAGCACTTTAACTTCAACTTTTCACGAGATATGTTTAAGGTCACAAGATTAAAGAGCATTTTGGTACGTTTGACATAATTTTAATTCAAAACCACAAGTGTAAATAGTCTTTTTTTTTCTTATCCGTTCCAAATCAAATTAAGTCATTCTTTTTTAAACGAACAAAGTACTACTGTTATTACTTTCCATATTATCTAACCAATTTACCTAGGACCACTTGATCCAACTAATCAACTCCACTAATACTGACCATAATTAACCAACTAATTTTAGTTATTTCAATATCCCCTCAAGCTAGAGACTGAAAAGTATCAAAAATTCAAAACTTAGATATAGTAAGAATTTGTTTTATGTCACTCCCAATCATTTCGTTAACAGGTTTGCAAGATAAAACTTAGTAGACACATGAACTGGGTGTATAAGGCCTTCCTTAAGTTTTTCTCTAACTAAATAACAGTCGATCTCAATATGCTCCGTATGTTCATTAAATATAAAATTTATAGTAATCTACACAACTACTTTTCTATTATGGTAAAATTTTGTAAGAGGTATTACTTCCACAGACAAGTCCTTTGCAATCAAACCATGACTTCAATTACTATAACCATGCTGCAATATTGTGCTTCTGTTGAGTTGTCGCTTATTGTTTGCTACTTCTTGAACTTCTAGGAAATAAGTGAAGCCCCTGACTACAAAATAAAACCCATGAAAAACCTTAGCTTCTTGTATGTATTAGGACAAGATGTATAATATGATTAACAATTGTAATACCTTAGAAAGCTAATAGACTGAATAACAAAAATATTGGTTGAACCATGAAGGGGTTTACAGATCGTGAAAGGAACCACGGCTCATCGACCTCTTGTGGTTCACAACCATTCAGTATGATGATCCCCAAAATCTTTCAATGGTCGTGGATCCCACACGAGTCGTGGAATGGCTCGTAGAAGCGAGGCAGAGCCAGTAGGGCTCAAGTGTTGGAAAACAGGCCCCTCCACGGGCGTGGTCCCAATGACGAGGTGTGGATGGGTCCATTGCACTGACATAGTAGATCCTTTGTAACACCTCGTATCATAAAACAAACCACATATAAGCTTTTCAAAAATTGCATATGTAACCTACGGTCACCATCCACGTACCGTAGTTTGATCTACGCCCCATGTTGTATGTCCGCAGTTCACCACTGCAACATATCCCCAAACCTAACATGAACATCGACTAAGTCTCGACCCATAGAACAGACCTACGACCCATAGACCAGACCACGGTCCGTGGTCTTTGTCAGTATATTGAGGCCCCTTTTACCTAGTCTCTGACACAAACCATGATTGACCAGTACGGTTCGTAGACAAACATATGGACTGTAGGTCTGACCGTGTATGAAGGTTAACAGTTAGTTAGGGGGAAATTGTTGATTGGGTAAACTTCAAATGGTCATAACTCTTATCACAAAATAAATTAGGTGTCCCATAACGTATTATATGATAGATGATTGAATCATCTTTCTAACACTATCGATTTTGTTAATATCCGACCTCCGAGTATGCTCATTTTAGTAAATCCCTATCGAGCAAACTTGACTTACTACCTCAACCTACGTACCGTAGGTTAAACTACAGCCCGTAGGTCAAATCCCCCGATCACTCTGACAATAGTTGATTCAGGGTTTTTTTTGGTCTTTTCTATTTCGTTGGACCCCTAAGATACATCATTTAGACATTAAATTGTGAGTTTTTATTCTATATAAACCTTGAAACATAACTAGAACTTACCTAAGTCAAATCATTGATCAAAACATAGAAAATTAGAAGCAAGACAGGAGAAAAAGGTCAAGAACCCTAGTTCAAGAACACAACAAGGTTCCATAAGTTTCAGCCTCGAAATCAAAGGATTTCTATGTTGAATTTATTACCAGGTATGTGAGATTTCACTAGTGGGTTCTTTCGCCCATTAGGTCCCTAGAATTTAATCAGTTTCTTGATTCCTTCTTTATGGATAGACCCAGGGTTAGAAATTAGATTAAGATGAATTACTTAGCTTTATATTTCAAATCAGATTATAATCTTATTACTCAGTATACCACATAAATTTTTAGAGCCCTAGCTTTGTATTTCTTTAGCTCTTGAATTATACGTGCTAGGCCAGATATGTCAGTTATTC